GCCCAGCCTGGAGCACCCCCAGCCCTTTTCCAGAGAAGCCCCTGTCCGGCTCTTCCCCCCGTCCCGCTCCATCTCCCCCATCCCCGCCGGGCCGGGCCCGCCTCCGGGAAATGGCGGCGCTGAGGGCGGCAGCGCCCCCTGCTGGCCGGGGGGAGGCAGCACCCCCATCTCGGGCCGTGCTGCGCACGCGCCGCCGCTCGGTCACGTGACGGAGCGGCAACATGGCGGCGCGCGGTGAGTGCGGCACCGGCGCGGTCGGAACCCCCCGCTGTCCCCCGGCACCCACCAGGGACAAACCCGGACCCCCCGGCACCCCCCAGGGGCAAACCCGGACCCCCCGGCACACACCAGGGGCAAGCCCAGCCCCTCCGGTCGTCCCTGGGCCCCCCGGCACCACCCAGGAAGCCCCTCTGTTTCCCCCTGACCCTCCGTGTCCCCCCTCGGGACCCGTTCCCTCGGGCCCGGCCCGGCGCGGGGTTCGTGCCGGTCCTGGGTATCCGCTGAGCCCGGGTCCGGGCACTCGCTGCGGGCTCAGCCCCGGCCCCGCGGTGCCGTTCGCCGGGCCCCGGTGGCGGTGAGGGCTCCCCGTGACTCGCTCCCTTCCCCGCGCGCAGGACGGTGACCGAGCAGCCCCCGCAGCGCGCCCCGTGTGCCCGGACCGTGCCCCCGCCATGGTGACGGAGCGGGAGGTGGAGGCCATCGGCCGCACGCTGGTGGACGCGGCGCAGCCCCTGCCCGCGCGGTTCCGGGCGCTCTTCACCCTGAGGAACCTGGGCGGCCCCGCGGCCGTGAGCTGGATCGGCCGCGCCTTCGGGGACGGCTCGGCGCTGCTGAAGCACGAGCTGGCCTTCTGCCTGGGCCAGATGCAGGACGAGACCGCCATCCCCCTGCTCATCCAGGTGCTGGAGGACACGACACAGGAGCCCATGGTCAGGCACGAAGCAGGTTGGCAGCAGCTCCTGTGGCTCCGGGGGTGGGGAAGGGCTGGCAACTGGGAGTTGGGGGTGCTTTTCCCCCTGTACTGAGCAGCTCATGGTGGCCTGGTCTGGCCTGGCTGCCAGACCCTGAGTCATGGAACACCTCACCAACATCCTCTGGCCAGGCCTGGCTGGACTGGTTGGCCGAGCCCTCCTGTTCCACGGGAGGCTCCCTCTTGGCCAGGTTCCCTCCTGCTGTGTTTGTCCCATTTGGGATTGGTCAGTCAGGCCTGTGTCCATGTTTGTCCCTATTTGGATCAGTTGTCCCTATTTCAGAGCAGGGCAAGGCTTTACCAGAGGACACAGCAGGGTTCTCCTCATGCTGACACCCCAGTCCTGTCCTGACACGTCCCTCCTTCCCTCAGGTGAAGCCCTAGGCGCTATTGGGAACCCCAAGGTGCTGGATATCCTCCGACGCTACTCCGAGGACCCCGTGGTCGAGGTGAGGATCCTGGGGGGTCATTTCCCGTGGGATGCAGCACTGCTGGTCTGGGAGGGTGAGGCAGCCCCTGCCCCTGGCTGGTGCCATCCTGCTGCGTGCTGGGGACCCCCCAGCGCCGTCCCACAGCCAGAGCTGTGTGCCCGTCCCTCAGGTGGCAGAGACGTGCCAGCTGGCCGTGAGGAGGCTGGAGTGGCTGCAGGAGAACAAGGAGAAGCCAGGCCCCAGCCCGTACCTGTCCGTGGATCCCGCTCCCCCCGCCGAGGAGACCGACGTGGCCAAACTGCGGGAGACCCTCCTGGACGAGTCCCAGGAGCTGTTCGAGCGCTACCGCGCCATGTTCGCCCTGCGGAACATGGGGGGCCAGGAGGCCGTGCTGGCACTGGCCGAAGGTGAGGGGCTGTCCTTGCTGGGAGGCTGTCCAGGTTAATCTGGGATGAGCCCTTCCCAAATCCGGGGCTGCCAGAGCTGCTCTCACATGTTTGTGTCTGGAGCTGCTGCCCCCCTGCCACATTGCGGAGTGCTGGGTGGTCTCTGGTGTGTTCCAGAGCCCCTTCCCTAAAGGATCTGGGTGGGAGGGCACAGCCTGTGATGGTGGCCCAGGACCAGCCTGTCTGACCTGGCCCTAAGGTCTTGGGGTCCTGCTCTCCTAGTCTGGAAAGTCAGAGGCTGCTGGGGTTTGGGAGCAGCTCTGGAGAGGGGGGTAAATGTCTGCATGGCCCAGGAACTGTTTGGACCCACCTCCCAGTCCGAGGGAAGTGGAGGAGGCTCTCCAGCCATCTGGGACCTCCAGGTCTGTGAGATGGGATCAGTCAGCTCCTGCTCCAGCTGCTTTATCCCAGCAGGCTGGAGGCTGTGGCTGCCAGTGTTGTGGTGGGGCAGGGCCCGGGGCGGGCAGGGGGTGGCAGCTCTGCCGGAGGGGAGGGTGGGTGCTGCCATCAGGGGAGGGCACCGGAGCAAGGTTGGGATGAGGGAACAGGGGTGGGGCGGTGACCCACGGGGTGGGGTGGTGACCCACGGGGTCCCCCAGCTCCCCCTCGGGGTGTCTGATCTCCCTGTCCCCCCTCTCCGCAGGGCTGCGCTGCGGCAGCGCGCTGTTCCGCCACGAGGTGGGCTACGTGCTGGGGCAGCTGCAGGACGAGGCGAGCGTCCCTCAGCTCACAGCCGTGCTGGGCAGCCCCTCCGAGAGCCCCATGGTGCGGCACGAGTGCGCCGAGGCGCTGGGGGCCATCGCGCGGCTGTCCTGCCTGAGCACCCTGCGCGCCTTCGCCGGCGACGCCGAGCGCGTGGTGCGCGAGAGCTGCCAGGTGGCCCTGGACATGTACGAGTACGAGAACGGCGCCCAGTTCCAGTACGCCGACGGGCTCTGCAAGCTGCAGGCCTCCCCCTGAGCCTGCACGGGGGGGTACACGCTGCCCCCCGCCCCCTCCCGCTGCTGGGTGTGCTTCCGTGCCCGCCCCTGCTGGCTCTGCCGCGCCGAGGTGGAGGAGGAACTGGATCTGCTCTCTCTGGCACACCTACAACCACCTTTTCCCTCCAAATCCGGGCTGAGCTTCTACTTGCCTCCCACCAGCTCCTGTTTCCTGGGTCTGCCCCTGTTTTCCCTGCCAGGATCATTGCTGCCTGCCCGCAGCCTGGCTTGGGGCTTGGACCAGGTGGGCTCTGCTCAGCAGGTCGGAGCCTGCCGTGGCTCTGCAGGGCTTGGGGCTGCTCTGCCGTGGTGCTGCCACGCCGGCTCGGCGCGAAACGGCTCCGTTCTCCCCACCTGAGCTTTGCTGGGGGCCAGGATGGGCTTCGGGCACCCGCTTTGTGGGTTGTGGTGTTGGGATGCTTCTAAATTGCCCTCGGTGCTGGTGCCGAGCCGGGGCCCTCCTCGCCCCCGCGGTGGGTTTGGCCTCTCCTGTTGGGACAGGCCGGGGCTGAGCCTGTGGCAGCCTCTGCCCTGGGATGGGGGTTGTTTCGTGGCAAAGTTGGGAAGATTTGGCTGTTTTTTCTTTCTGCAGGGAATGGTGCTGCCATTAGGGCGGGCAGGGTGAGGCAGAGCCTGCCTGGGCATCCCCCCGTGTTTAACCAGAGCCGGGAGGGCTGAGGCTGCTGCCGGCACCCAAACCCAAACCCTATGGCCAGCCCAGCCTGGGTGCCAGGGGGGGCTGGCAGGGAATAAAGTGCTGGCAGCAGGAGCTGGAATGAGTGGAGCTGTGATTTCCCTGTGCCCAGGTGGGAGGTGCCCCCAGTGCTGTGGGGTTGGACCGTGGCAGGGAGCCCAGGGGTTGCTGTGCCGGAATCATAGAACCATCAAGGCTGGAAAGGACGTTTGAAATCGAGTCCAGCCGTGCTGGAAGGAGAGAGCAGGGAGTGGGGTGCCTGGTAGCATGGGGTAAAACCCCACAGCCCTGGGAAGGAGGGTGGACATTGCCCATGGGGTGCCCCAGGAGCACCCCCAGCACTGCCCAGCAGAAGGGTCAGTGGGTCCCACTGCCCCAAGGGCCTGGCACCCTCCTGGTCATGGCTGGTCTTCCCCTTGTCCAAGGGCTCGCTGTGAGTCACTCCCAGGCTCAATCCTCTTAGTCCCTGTGGCTGGCTCAGCGTTCCCAGGGCTCTGGTGCTCAGGGACACAACCAAGGGGCAGCCCTGGCCATGGTGGCCCAGTCTGACCCAGTTCAGGATCCCAGGGAAGGGGCTCTTACTCAAATGTGACCAGTTTTGATCACTTGTAAGCACTGGAAGTCAGTCCCACATGCCCAGTTTCTGTGGACGGTGGGGGGCTCTGAACCATCACTCCCCAGCACTGGGGACAAACACCTGGTGTTTTCACACTGTTTGGAATCAGCAGCTGTTTTGGGCTTTCTTGTCCCCCTTCCCTCACCCTCCAGAGCCCCTGGGTGGAGGGCAGGACCCAGCTGGCACTTCAGGCTCTGGGTTGTCCCTGTGCCCGTCTCCATCCCCAGGACAGTGGGATGGGGGATTTCCCTGGAGTCTGCTGCTGTGTTTGCTCCCATTTATCACCCCAGCTGCCGCAGCCCTTGTTCTCCAGCCCTTCCACAGGTGGCTCATGAGGACCATGCATGGTTGTTTCCCAATCTTTCTGTGACGACATTTGTCTCTGCTCCCCCCAAACACCTTTTAAGCCCAAATTGGAATGAAACACATTTCTGAGGCTGAGATCTGGATAGTGTGACCTAGTGCAGCAGAGCTGGGAGGTGCTGGAGTGGAGCAGGGCTGGGCCCTGAGTCCTTGGCACCAAACCTTCTGGCACCTTCACCCCTCTCTGTCCAGCCTGTGCTGGGAAGGGTTTTTCCAAAGCTGCTGCTGCCCCTGGCCAAACACCATCCTCCTGGGTGTGGGGGGAATCGCTTTGGGAGGCATCAGGCTGCTCAGCTCTGGGGGAGTCACACTGGGATGCCACATGGGACAGCCACTGTGAAGCTCTGGAAAGGTGACAGCCCCTCACCGTGGGCTGCTCCACCACCCAGTGAAGGTGAAGGGAGTCTGGGGCTGCATCCCCGTCCCTTCCCGGCTCCCTCCGTGTCCTCCTGGATCTCACACCATCTGCTCTGGGGATCCGGCGCCTGCTGACAGATTTAAGCCTGCCCGGGGGAGGGCGGGGAGGCCTCGGGCATCCTTCCCCATCCCTGCCCTTGGGAGTTCTCCAGCTGCAGGTGATTCCCCACTCCCGGGGGGAATTGGGGTACCCGCGGTGCTGCCAGAGGGGCAGGTTTAGGGTACTCTGACCGACGTCGGAGCCCAGTGGTCCCCCCCAGGCTGAGGCAGCCGGGCCGTGCCCGGATTAGCGGGCGCTAAGCTCCTCCTCAGCGGCACAGCTCCCGTCGCACGGAGGGCGAGTGGCACTGCCACCGGCCATGGGGACACCGCAGTCCCTGTGAGCCGCCGGCAGAGGTGTGGGGGGAGCTGGCCATGGCCCTGGCAGGGGGAGTGTGGGGGCCGCGGCACTTGCTGCAGTCCCCCCCCGAGGAGGACGGGGTGCTGTACGTGGACTACAAGCCCCCGGCCTTGGACAGCATCCGCCTGCCCCGCTACGTCCTGTACCTGGTGATGGCGGCCACGCTGGTGCTGGTGGTGGCCTATGCCATCGTGGGGCACCTCATCAAGGACCTGGTGCACGACTTCGCCGGTGAGTGCTGCCCAGAGTGGGCTCGGGCTTTGGGGTGGGCCGGGGGCAGGGGCATCCCCCCCGCCCGCAGCTTGTGCCGGGCTGTGCTGCTGATGGCTCCGTCCCTGCCCCCGCAGACTGGGCGTTTGGGCCCAAGCCGGAGGAGGAGAAGGCGGTGATGGCCGAGGGCACCGTGCCGGAGGTGGAGTGGCTGCAGGAGGACGAGGTGCTGCCGGCGCGGAAGGTGGAGGGTGAAGGCGCCGGGGTCCTGCCCGGCATGGACGTCCCGCTGGCACTGCTGGCCCCGCGCAGCTCCGTCTCCTTCGCCGAGTCCCCCAAGAAGAGGTTCTTCTAGGGCCGGGGGACCTCCCCTGCCACCAGCGGAACCCAGCAGCCCTGCCCGACTGTCAGGTCACGGCACAGCCCTGGCCCCAGATGCTGCCTTGGCTTCCTCCTCCCTGCGCAGCCCCAGCGCTCCCCCCGCTCCTCACCCAATAAAGCTGCACAGCCCCGCTCGCCCCGTGGCCCGGCACAGCACGGGGGGTGGCAGGGCTGGGACCCGAACCTGTGCCGGGGGTAACAGCACCCTTTGGCACAGCCGTGCCACCCCGGGAATGGCACGTGGGGCGGGACACACGTGTGGGTGCACAGCGTGGACGTGCGGGCGTGTGAAGGTGTGTGCTCAGCGGTGCAACCCCCGGCGGGGGGGCACAGACACGAGTGTGCACGTGGAAACGTGGAAACAGGGATGCAAACACCTTCGTGGGGGCCATGTCAGCACAGGCACACAGGGATGGATGGACAGACAGACAGACACCGAGGCTATGCCACCCCGCCTCCCCCTTGGTGCCCTGGCACTGCCAGGCTGTGCCCAGAGGCACCGACACGTGCTCCAAAGCCAGTCTTGAGGGCCAAAGTACCCATGAGCCTGCCTGTGGTGAGGGCACTGGGGATGGGGCTGTCACACGGACCCACAGCCCCTGCCTTAAACCCAGGCTGGCCCTGGATCCCCTTTCCCCATGCCTGCAGTGGGGACCCTGTCCTTGTGTCCCCAGGCTCCTTCACGCCTCAGGGAATCACCACAGTCGGGGGATCCTGCCAAAACCCCCTGTTCATCCCTGGGGTGCTACTGCCCACCCCATACCTCAGTTTCCCCTGTACCCTGGTGGCCTCCCCAATGACACCATTAACATTCAGCTGGGGACAGTACCAGGCACTCCTTGGAACGGGATGGGGTCCCCCTGGCACCAGCTGGGATCCTCTGGAGGCCCAGCTGGCCCATGACTGGGGAAGGGCTGGGGATGGCCTGGCACTGCCCACTGACCCCTGTGCTGCCCCACCCCCATGGGATCTGCCCCAGCCCTGCCAGTGGGGCTGAGGTGGCACCCCATGGGTAGAGGGGGGAGGCTGAGGTGGGGCAGCAGGCAGGGTGGGCACTCCTCCACCCCACCAGTCTGTCCTCCCACCACCCACCCACCTTACTGTCCATCCGTCCAGCCCCTCCTCTGTCCACTCACCCAGCCCGGGGGTGGTTCCCAGTCCTGGGCACGGGGGTACCACTGTGATCCCCGAGGTGCCTGAGCCAAGGGAGAGGTGCCACCTCCCACGGATGACAGGAGCCATGTTGCCATGGCACTTGGTGACACTTGTCCCCGTGAGGCCAATAAAGGCGCCCGTTGCCCTCGGCTCGGAGACAACGCCCGGCCCGGCGGGGACAGGAGCTCACCTCGGGTAGCAGGACCCAGCCGTGCCCGAACCCTCCGCCCGAAAATGCCGCGGCCCTCGCAGCTCCTCTCGCTCCTGGTCCTGCTCGTCCTCGCTGCCACCGCCCGGGGACAGACCAGTAGGTGCCACGTGCCCCTCCCGTGCCCCTGGGGTGCCTGGGGGGTTGGCCGCCCCCCAGGCATCGGATCAGCTCCCGAGAGACCTCCCCAGTGGGAGCAGTCTGTTCCTGCAGCAACCCTTTTTGGGGGCAGAGCAGAAAGATTTGGGGGCACACGCCTGCTGTCCCCAGTGCTCCCCACCATGCCAGGCACCCCCACGCTCTGCCGGGCACGGGTGGGCTGTGTCAGAGGAGCTTCCTTGGCACCCAAGGGATGGGGGGAAGGGGAGAATGTTGAGTATCTGCCAGTGTCCCCTGGTGTCCCCAGTGTGCTCCACACAACTGGGGCCCCGCACCAGGGTTTGGGGGGGTCCCATCCCTTGCAGGATGGAGCTACTCTGAAGCTGTCCCCAACCCCACCTTTTGCCATTCTCTGTCCCTGTTCCCCTGCCATGCAGGCACCGGCCCAAAGGTGCTGCAGCCCTGGCTCCTGGGCATCACTGCCGTCGTCGTCTTCCTCTTCATCGTCTTCGTGGTGCTGGTCATTAACCGATTCTGGAATCTCAGGAGGCGCAGGTGGGGGGGCCGGGGGGTGCTGGCAGGGGGGCCGTGTGGCAGGATGCCATGGGGTGGGGACAGGTTGTCCCCAGGCACCACTCAGCCCCTCTCTTGCCTCGCAGGAAGCAGAGCGACTACCCGGAGACCACGGAGCCTGACAGGTACCACGGCCCGGGGGCGGTCGGACGGCACCGGGACCCCCATCCCCAGCGGGGCTTGGATCCCCCCGAGGGTGGGGGGGATGTGGTGGCCTGTGTGCCGTGGTGGCCGGCGGGGCCGCGGTGCCCCGCGTGCCCCTGGCACGGCCGCGGTGCTGGTGCCGTCGGGGCAGCCGTGCCCGGCTGACCCTCGTTCCGTCCCTCCTTCCCTCCCTCCCGCAGGCTGGAGCGCTTCGGCCACGTCAACCCGGCGGCCGAGAACAGCGACGAGGAGAGCGACGGCAAGGAGCGGACCAAGGCCACGTCCCTCTGAGCCGCCCCGCCCCCCACTGCCCACCCCGGGGCGCCGCGCCCTCACCCCGTCCGCGGGTGGGACTCCGCGCCGGGTTTCGGAGGCAGCCGCGGCCACCGTGGCACCTCCCGCCCCGCCGCCGTCCCGGCTGCGGCCAAGACCCGGCGCGGATTGTCCGCCCGCCGGAGCGGAGTGGGGAGGGCGGTGGCCGGGAACCGTAGCGGGACCCCCCGACCCCTCCAGCCCTGGGCCGGCCGTGGGTCCCACCCCCCTTCCCAGCCGTGCCCAGTAAAGGTCCCCGATCTTCTCCAGCGGCAAGCGTTTGGTGTCACCGCGCTGGGGAGGGGGCTGTTCCGCACCCCGAGGTGCTGGAGGGGCAACGGGGGCACCCCCGGGTGCCACCCGGGCAGGGGACAGTGGTGGGTTCCGAGCTGTCGGACCTCGGCGGCCTCGGCACGGCGAGACTCCTTGTCCCGCCACGCCGCTGCTCCCACAGCCCCGGGCCGAGGGGGGGGCACCGAGGGGTCGGGGGAGCACTGGAGGGGGGCGGGCGGCCTCGCCCCCCGGCTGTCCTGGGCAGCGCTTGGGGACAGGGACGATGGGGACAAGAGGGGGGTGACTGCGCGGCTTCGTCCAACGGTGCCCTGGGGGTGATGCCGATGACGTCACGGCCACGCGATGACGTCACGCACACGAGGCGGTGACGTCACGTGGCCGAGGCCCCGATGCAGAGGAGGAGGCAGCAGCTCTGACCCCCCCGCGTGAACCCACGGCTGCCCCCACCCGTGTCCCTGTCCCCGCGTGTCCCCTCCCTGCCCCCCTCCCCCCGCAGCCCCGCCCGGGGCTGGGCGTGTGCCCCGGGGGTCCCGGCTCGCTCACCCTCCTCACCCGGGCCAAGATCACCCACGGGTGGGCGTCCCTCCTCTGGGGTGATGGGTGCCCACTGCCAGGCAGGGCTCTGTTCCAGTACATCCCAGTGTCCCCCAGTTCACACCCCCCCCACACGGGACAGCCGGTCTGTCCCCGGCCGTGCCTCAGTTTCCCCCAGGGCAGCGAAGGAAGGGCGGAGGCGAGCTGGAGTTGAAGCATAGCTTGTTTAATTTTTATACATTTTTTTTTTGTCTTTTTTTTTTCTTTTCGTTTTTTTAATCTTTTTTTTGTATGTCAGTTTTTTCTTTTTTGTTTTTTTCTTCTTTTTTGTCTCTTTTTTCTCTTTTTTGCATAGGGGAGGGGGGGGAACAACCAAAAAAAAAAAAAAAAAAGAAAACAAAAACAACCCCCAAAAAAAAATAAACCCAAAAAAACCCAAACCTAAAAGAAAACAAAAGAAACAAAACAAAAAAGAAAACCAAAAAAACCCCAAAAATCCGTATCAGGGTCAGTAAGTGTATGTAGGCAGGAGCGGCGCTATCGGTAATGGCTGCGTACAATGGTATAATCAAATATCGTGAAGCACCAGGGAGGCGAGCGGGGGCTCGGGGGAGTGTCATGCGGGGCCGGGGGCGCGGGGGGCACAGCCGGGGGCCCGGCCCCGGCTCGCGGCCCTGGTGCGCTCGCGGTGTGTATCGGCTGCGGCAAAGCAAAGCGAGAATCCGGCGAACGAGTAAAATATAACTGCGGGGGAGGGAGGGGCAGCCCCTGCCCCCCCGGGGGGAGCGGGGACCCCCGAAAAGGCGGGCGGGGGCAGCCGGCGGCGCGGAGGCACTGCGGCGGGATTTTTGGTTTGGGTGAGGCGCGGTCCGGCCGGCTGCCGCCTCGGCGCCTTTTTGGGGCGGTTTCTCTCCTTTTTGCCGCTCTTTGCCCCGAGGTGGGTTTTCCCTCCCCCACACGCACCCCGGCTCCCCCTCCCGCCTGCCCGCGGGCATCGCGCGGGGCACCCAGCGGGGCATCCAGAGGGTATTCACGGACCGGGGTACCCAGAGGGGCGCCTGGGGGTCTGCCCGGGACACCCAGAGGGGCACCCGTGGTTCTACCCGGGGCACGCACGGGTATCTTCCGGGGCACCCAGAGGGGCATCACCTGGACCACCCAGAGGGACCCCCGTGGGCACCCAGAGGGACACTCGTGGGTATTCCTCGGGGTACCCAGCGGGGCACCCGTGAGCACGGCCCGGGGCACCTGGAGAGGCACCCACAGGCGTCACCGGGAGCATCCAGAGGAGCACCCGTGGGCATCACCCGGAACACCCAGAGTGACACCCGCGGGCACCGCACAGGACACCCAGAGGGTCACCCGTGGGCATCTCGCGGGGCACCCGCCACCAGGGGCACCCAGCGGGTCCCCAGCCGGCGCTGGGGGCAGAAAGCAGCAAATTCCAAACTCCGAGTACAAAAAAAACACAAACAAACAAAACAAAACAACAAAAAAAACACCCCCAAATCCAAAAAAGAATCCAAACCCCACCAAACAAGACATATATATATATATAGGGGATTTATATATATATATATATATATATATTCCTTTGCGATTTAAAGTACCTTAACTGTGTGTGGGCCCGTGGGCCCGCGCCCCCCGGCCCTGCAGCCCCATATATATATATGTGGAGATATATATATATATATGTACAGGTTATTTGTTTTATTTATAGGTCACAAGGACTATTTTTAATTAATTTTTTTAAGCCGACGAGCCCGACTAAAAACCCTCTAGGAGAGACTGTAGTGCATGAAACCCCCGCGGTGATTGTCGAGCGGAGCCCCCTCGTGTCCCCATCCTGCTGGGGACCCCCCCGGAGCATCCCCAGGGTTGGGGTGTCCCCCCACACCCCCGCGGCTTTGCGCCCACCCCGACCGCGGCCATCGAGGGATAAAAGAATAAAAAAAAAAAAAAAAAGGGAGAATGATTAAAAAAATAGAAATAATAAAAACGAGTGGTGCCCCCCGGGGAGGGACCGGGGGGTGTTGCATATTCCCTTTGGGCAGAGCCGGGAGTGCGGCCCCAGGGGGGTGTCGGGGGAGCAGTGCAAAGACCCCGGGGGCGCGGGGGGCTCCCCGGCTCCCCAAGGGGAAGCCCCCGGCCCGGCCCCCCCGCTGCCGCCCTATGGCCTGGGGGGCGTCGAGTTGATTCTTTTTTTGCCTTTTTTTAACATGGTTTAAGGTGCTTTTCTTGCCGAGGGCGGGTTTTGGGGGGCTGCGGCCGCAGCCCGGCCGGACGTGCTGCCGGCCCGGGGGGAGAGGCAGCAAAAGGGGGGCAGGGGACGGCCCCGGTGGTGTCCCCGTGGGGACGGGGGCTCCGGGGGCTTCCTCGGGGCGGGGGGGGGGGAAACCAGGCCCGAGGGGCGCCAGCGCCCCTCGCCTCCCCAGGGCTTGCCGGGGGGGCTGCCCCGTTGCCCCCACTCCCTCCCTCCGCTGTCACTGTCACCGCTGAAAAATGCTTTTTCTTTCTTTTTTTTCCTATATTTTTTGCTTTGAGCTGAGCCTTTTCCAGCCTGAACCCCCTTTTTTTGTTTCCTGTTTTTCTATTTATTTTTTTTTATTTTCTCCTTTTTTTAATTTTTTTTTTTTTTAAATTTTGTCCTTTTTATGTAGTTCTATTTCTCATTCCTCCCCCCCAAACTGGACACCGCACCCTCCCCCCCCGCCCCCCGCTCCCTCCTTGCATTGTCCTTGCAGAAATCAATACTGCACCTTGCATAAAGAAGCGGCTCCCAAGGCTGTTCCCCTCCCCGGAGGACCCCAAACCGGCCTCACCGGTGGGCAAAACCCGGCGGGACGCGACCCACCCCCGCCATCCCCCCCACTAATACTTTTGGGCACCAAAAAAAAAAAAAAAAAAAAATTAAAAATTTCAAAAACTGTTGACGACGACGTTTCTTCATGCCCGAGCAGCAGCGATGCCGGTGCCACCCGCCCACCGGTGTCACGACCCGCGTCAGCCTCAGAGGGCTGTGGGGAGGGTCCCTCCGGCCGGCGGGACGCTGGGGTTTTAAGGCAAATTCTGGGTTTTTTGGGGGTGTCGGGCCCCCGCTCGGCAGCAGGCACAGCAGGGAGAAACGGGGAGAGGGCACCTCCTGCCATTCCCTGCTGCGCCAGCCGGACCCCCGCGGATGAAGCCGATGGGGACGGGGGCGTGGGGGAGGCTGTGACCCCCCCCGACACCAGCCCGGGGTGGGGGGGCACAGCTACATTCACACGGTTCCATTCCTGTCACGAGAGCAGCCGGGCTCAGCCCTCCTGGCCCTGCGCCCCATTGAACACCAATTAAAAAGTGGGGGTCCCCTAAGGGGGGGTGGGACGCTGTGGCCCCCCCGTAAGGGCCAGCCAGGGGGGTTTCCATCCCTGCTCCTCCCCGCACGGACCCCAACACATCCCCGTCCGTTCTGCCGCGCCCGAACACTGGGCCCACCCCCCCCGAGGGTTCTGGGGAGGGCTCTGGCCCGGGGGTCCCTGCCGCCTCCCGCCTCGCTGCCTTTGGTTGCTGGAAGCAGAAAAAAAACAACAAATAAAAACCCCCAAAAGGGAAGGAAAACAAAGAAAAGAGAGGCAAAGCAAAGGGGTGGCCGCCCCCCCGGCCGGCCCCCCCCGCAGCTATTGCATATTCCGGTGTGTTGGCGCAGAGGATGCATCGGTATTACCAACTGGAAGACTGGAAGTTTCTGAGGGGGAAAATCGGTTAAAAAAGAAGAATAATAGAGAGAAAAAGGGACTTTTCCGACCGAGAAGAAGCCATGCAGGAGGCGAGGGGGGGGCAGCCGCCCCTGGCCCCCCCGGCCCCCCGGGAGCCCCGGGCATGCAGCGACTCCCTCGCACTGATATCGGGTCCAGTAATACTTAGGCTTCGAAGGCAAGGCACATCATGTGGTATAAAATTTCGTGCAAATTAGGAAAACATGGATTTTTTTTTCTTGTGTGTTTTTTTTTTTTACGGCTTTTTTTTTCTTTTATACAGATTTTTTTTGTGTGTGGTGTTTTTTTCCTCCTTTTTTTTTTTTTTTTTTTTTCTCTTTTGCTGAAGGGGAAGGTAGAGCCGGTTAATAGAGTCTGCCATGCACAGCATCAGCCAGCCGCGGCTGGGTTGAGCCAGGTCACCAGATCCTGTTAAAGCACCATGCAGTTTATTTGTCTTTTTTTTTTTTTTTTTTTGTCTTTTTGTGTTTTTTTTTTCTCATGTGTTTCTCTTCTCAGATCTTTTTTTAAAAAACAGGTTTCCCTCTCCGCCAAGCGCTTTTTGTTGTTGTTGTTTTTTTCTTTTTTTTTTCCTTGTGGGTTTTTTCCTTTTCTTGTCCTTTTTGATTATTTTTCTGTCTCCCGGGATTTCCTGCGTCAGCCCTTTCCCGGTGCCTCGCTGTGCCGTCCTGGGGGGTGGGAAGCGGGGGGAAGCGGGGGCCGCTGGAGTGGGGGATGCGATGCCCGTGGTCCTTGGGGCGGCTCCGGGTGCCCTGGAAGGGGGCCAGGCGGGTGGCGGCGGTGACATCCCCAGCTCCTGGACATCCCACGGTGGCTTCTCTCCATCATCGCCCGTGGGGTGTCCCCTGGGCGGGGGGGATCCC